TACACACACACACTCCGTGTCTGACGTCCCCAGCCTTCCCCTCAGCCATGGTTTCTCCCTTAGAGCCGCTGAGCGTGGATGACCCCACTCGGGGTCTGAATGGCCTTGGTGAGCCTGGAACCGATGCCCTCCCGACCTCGGAGCCCTGCCCCTTCCAGCCGCTGGATGAGCCCCTGCCCCAGAGGCCCTCACCCCTGGCCGACCCGGCCTTCTACCCAGCAGTCCCGGAGCCCAGCGCCCGCCCCCGGCTCGCAGTGGACTTGGCTCTGCCAGGACCCCTTCCTGAGGAACTGCCCCTCATCTCCAACCACGTGGGTCTGGACGGAGACCCTGCGCAGGTGGCCTTGTCGGTGGCGGAATTCGGACTTATTGGCATCGGGGACGTGAACCCCTTCCTGGCCCCCGGGCTGCACACAGAGCCCCTGTCACAGTGAGTAGGGTCTGTTATGCCCCTCCCCGGCCACCCCTCGGAGCCCCCCAGTCTCCAGGTGGGCAGCAGAGAAATGGGGGGAGGTCTGTGGCTTTGGTGTTTCGAATGCACTCGGGTTAGCTTTCTGACTGCTGCGGCTATGTAAAACCCCAAAGGGTCCCCGCAGAAGCGGCCCCCGGCTCGTGCCCACCTCAGCCGCTGGCCTCTGCCTTGTCTTTGCAGCTGTAACGTGATGACCTGCTGATCCCCGATGCCAGGCACCTCACAGACCTGCCACCACAGGAATGGTCCCCAGACGGGCCTGGGCCACCCTGGGCCCCTTCCGTCCGTCTGCCCAGCCCCTTCCCGTGGCCACTGGCCACGCTTCCTCTGCTTCAGGGCGTGCTGGTGAGGGCTCAGGGGGACAGAGCTGCCTGGCCCCACTCGGACTCCGTGACCTCTACCAGCACAGGGACAAGCCTGCCCCTGGGGATGGCCACATCGCCGCCACCAGCAGCCCCGACCGAGGGTGTCCTCGGCCAGCTCTGTCTCTGCAGTCGTGGGGCCGAGGGGGGGGCAGCTGCTATTCAGTGCCAAACTGTGGGGCATGGAGCCATATACCTCGCTGTCGGCCCCCCAGCCCAGCCCGCCCACCCTCCATTCAGGAAAAGCCGCACTTTACCCCTAGCGCCCCTCGGGGGACCGGGCCCTCAGCAAACCCGGCGTGGGTGTGAGGGGCCAGAGGAGTTAGACCCTTTCCCCCATCCCATCCCAGAGCACCCCTCCAGGGGTCTCCTTTCTGTTGGATGCCCTCCCCCCGGGGATGGCTGGGGTCTTTGTCCTCTTCTTCCTGTCTCCCCGGGTTTATTTATGTTTCTGTTCACGTGTTGGAGTGTGGGGTGTTTGGGGGTAGGCACCCAGTCTCCAGGGTCATCGAGGGTTTCTGCTCAAGCTCTTCCTCCAGAGTTGGGTTCGACCCCTCCCCAAAAAGGACCACACTGTGAAGTGACAACAACTGCCTTGATCCCTCCCCCCACTGTTTTATTTATTAAAGTTGATTTGAAGCCCAGTGGTGCCTCCCGTGGACAGAACTGGGCAAGTGGGGGCTCTTCACTGAGAACAGGTTCTTGGGGTGATGTTTCGGTGGAAACCTGGAGAGGAACAGTCCTGCATGTCAGAGCAAGGAGGGGTCAAGTTCAGACAGAAGTTAGCGTGGAGACTGAGGAGGGGGGGATCAGTGTCTGGGGATGCTGGGGGCCCGGACAGGGCATGGAGAGGCGGGTGGGCGAGGAGGAACTGGGCCGAGATGGAGAAAGTCAGGCATGGGGTTCCCAGCTCCTGCCATGGTGGGAATTGAGGTGTGCGGGGGCTGTTTGTGCTCAGTTCCGGCGTTGAGTCCACACTGTCTTGTACTGTCTGCAAGCTTGCCTATGTCCACTATGTGCACGCCGTCCTGCTCGGATTTTAAGACAATTTCGTATCGCTACCTTTGACCACCTGCCCTGATAGCTTCACTCCTGTCCTTCGCGAGCCTCTGAGCTCAGGTTTTGTGTGTTTTAAGTCATATTTTAGTACAAAGGGACTTCCGAAAGTTCTGGGGGAAACTCCATGATCCTTTCATTCCCACTTTCCGTGAACTTTCTGAGGTCCTCCTGTAGCGTTCTCTGTTATTTCTTCACAGCACGTAACAAAAACTTTTTCAGCTTTATTTCTGACCCCCTCCCCCCACACACACACACCAGTTTCAGTGACTGAAATTATACAGATAATATTGTAAAGTGCCATCAAATTAGTTCCAACCCATAGCAACCATGTGTAGGGTTTCCAAGGAGCAGCTGGTGAGTTTGAACCACTGACTGTGGTTCAAAGCAACTTTGTAGTCCAGCGCATTAACCCCCAGCGCCACCCCGGACTCCATCCAGATAGTGGGCCCATGAAGCTACTGCAGACGTGTTCCTGAGACTTTCCACACTGGGTTGCTTCTCACACCTCGTGTTTTGCCTGGTTTGTAAGGCTATGTCCTCAGGATCATTCATGGGTCCCTCTGACTCATCCCATTGGCTCATCATCCCATGTAGCTTGGTTTCCACTTTGGCCATCGGAGTTTCTGCAAGTTCTACTGGGGTCTTTTTCATATCTCCCATGTCTTTGACTAGAATCCTGTGTGGGGCTGTAGATGAGCACTGGACAGAACCACAAGGTCAGTGATTCAATCCAACCAGCCACTCCTCAGATACCCTACACATGGTCGATAAGAGTCTGAACCAACTCAATGACACTTAAGTGTGTTTAACTAAACATGTTGGGCACAAGCCAGAGCCTATCTGGAAAGAGGCCTCTTAAGACCGCTTCTGGGACAGTGTGGTGGGGAGAGAGGGCCGGGAGCTTCAGACAGCCAGCCGCTCCCCAGAGCCTGGCCTCCCATGATGAGGACACCTGGTCCTGGAGTGAGACGCCCCTCCGCACCTGACCCACAGCTCACCCTCCCCTGTGCACCTGGCTTCCTGGTTTGTGATTCTGGATTAGAGTTGACAGGTGTAAGACGAGGTGTCCGGTTTGATCTGAGTTTCAGAAAAGCAGACAATTGATCATTACTGTAACCATGAATCCTGCTGGAGTCCTGGTGTAGCGCTGTGCGTTGATGTGCTGGACTGCAAAGTCGGTTTGAACTGCAAGGTTGGCAGTTCAAGCTCACCAGCTGATCTTCGGAAATCCTGCACAGGGTTGCTATGAGTCGGAACCGACTGCTAGAATCCTGGTGTTGCGCTGTAGAATAAACACTGGGCCACAGGTTGGTTTGGGCCACAAGGTCAGCAGTTGAAATCACCAGCTGCTCCTTGGAAACTACAGGGTCGCTGAGTTGGAATCGACTCAGTGACGCTTAATAACAGTGAGGCCTGGTGGCACTGCAGGATCAGCAGTGGATTGCTAACCTCAAGGTTAGAGGTTCAAAGCCACCAGCCGCTCCGTGGGAGAGATGACGTGGGCACTGCTCTAGTGAAGATGGACAGCCTCGGGACCCTGTAAAGAGTGGCTGCGGTTACAAGTGACTTGATGGCAGGGGAGTTTTAATGACTCTTGTACCACGTGGGGACTGTGGTGGCTCCATAGTATAAGCACTGGACTGTAAAGCACAAGGTCAGCGGCTTGAACTGACCAGCAGCTCCGTGGGAGACATGAGGCTCTCTGCTCTGCAAAGATGTCCAGCCTGGGAAACCCTTTGCATAGGGTCTCTAAGAGTCAGAACTGACCCGTCGGCACACAACAATAACAACAATATTCCATGCAATAGTTTGGACTTAACAATGGTAAATGGAGCCCTGGTATAGTGCTGTATGATAAGCACTGAACTGCTGACCACAAGGTTGACAGTTCAAACCCACCAGCTGCTCAGAAATCCTATAGAGGATCACAGTGAGTCAGAACCAACTTGATACAGCTTCACAACAACATAACATTACAAAATTACTGTCGCCTTTCCAAGACTCAAATTTAATTGTTGTAGTTTTTATGAGGACATTTCAAAAAGTTTGGGAAAATGGGATTTTTCCACAAGCTTTTTGAAGCCCCATTGTACTTGCTAAAGGAGCTCTGCTGGTGCCGTGGGTTATGCATTAGGGCACTGACCACAAGGTTAGAGGTTCAAACCCACCAGCTGCTGTGTGGGCTGGCTGTTCCCATAAAGCTTTACAGTCATGGGAGACCACTTAATACCACTATTATTCAAGTTGACACACCAGCCAGTAAAGCCAGTGATGACAGAAATGGAAATCTACCAATTTTTTCAGTCTGAAATTAATCAATCAATCAAGATGTATTGATCATTACCAGTGATTGAAATGTGAAGGTTGGAAGAAGAAGAGTCCGTAGTTGGAAAATAGGGCCTTAGTGATAGAAATGATGCTGCAGACCACACAACTGCATTTTGCAAGACCAATGACTTACTGCAAATACCTTTTTAAACATTAAGATTATACACATGGACCTCACTAGGTGGAATACGCAGGAACCAAACGGACTACATCTGTGGGAAGAAATGGTAGAGAAAGTTTAATATCAGTAAAAACAAGGCCGGGGGTGGGGGGGAGAGGCAACTATGGAACGGATCAGCAATAGCTTAGATGCAAGGTCAGGCTGAGGCGGTTCCTGCTTTTGAATGCCATTAAGTCATGAGTGGCAGGTGGGTTTGAACCACCAAGCATGTGATTAGTAGTCCAATGTGTATCCTACAAGTCTGCAAGAGCCAACGTATGACCTTGACCATATCCCACCTGGATGTGGAGACCATCTCAAGCATAGATTTTATGCATTGGACAATAACAACCAAAGACCAGGAGGATTGTGGGATGACATCAAGAACATAGAGGAAGAAAGGAGAAGGTCCTTCAGATGACAGGAAAGAAAGAAAAGACCACTGTGGATGGCAGAAGAGACTGTGAAACGTGTACTAAGGTGAATGGAAAAAGTGAAGTCAGCTGAACAGGAAATTTCAAAGGGCATCTCAGGAAGACAAAGTTAAGAATTGTAATGAAACGGGCAAAGACCTGGAGTTGGAAAACCAAAAGGGAAGAGCAAGCTCAACATTTCTCAAGCTGAAAGAACTGAAGAAAAAATTCAAGTCTCGACTTCAAGTATTGAAGGATTCCATGGGTAAAATATTGAATGAAGAAGCATCAAAAGAAGATGGAAGGAAATGTCAAGGTAGACGTTTTATAGCAAGGAGGGGAGTGATTAACTTTTCAGTCTAGGAGCGGAGGTCCCTGGGACCATCAAGGGAGAAGAGCAGAGAGCAGGAACCTACCCAGAGAAGCAGTGATGCCCGAAATGGAGCCAGAGATGATGACGTGGAGCGATGGAGCAGCTGGAGACTTTAGATCCAGAGAGGGAGAGGGGCTGTGTGCTGAAGACCTGGGAGGTATGGGGGAAGGATTGCATGGAGGGGATTGTAACCATGGCAATGAGACGATATACGATAGAATGAATGTAAAACTAATGTTCTCCCATGTAAGCTATCACATAATTCACAATAAAACATTTAAGAAAAAAAAAGAAGATGGAAGGTATACGCAGCGTTATTGTGCCAAAAAAAAAAAAAATGACTGGTGTTCAACCATTTCAAGAGGTAGCATGTGATCAAGAATCTATAGTACCTGAAGGAAGAAGACCAAGATGTACTGAAGGTATTCGCCAAAAACAAGACTCCAGGAATTGACAGAATATAAACTGGAATATTTAAACAAACTAATGCAGCACTGCCAAGAAATTTGGAAGACAGCTACCTGGCCAACGGATTGGGAGAGGTCCGTGTTTGTGTCCATGTCAAAAGAGTTTACCCAATGCAATGTGGAAATCATCAGTCAATATCACATGCAAGCAAAATTTTGCTGAAGATAATTCAAAATCAACTGCAACGGTCCACTAACAGGAAGCTGCCAGAAACTCAGCCAGATTCAGAAGAAGCTGTGGAATTACATAGCTGACGTCCGCTGGATCTTGGCTGAAAGCAGAGGATACCAGAAAGAAGTTTACTTGTGCTTTATTGACTGTGCAAAGGTTTTCGACTGTATGGATCATGACAAACTATGGATAACATTGTGAAAATTGGATATTCCAGAACACTTGATTGTGCTCATGAGGAACCTGTACATAAACCAAGAGGTAGGTCAGTCATGAGAACAGAGCACAGGGATACTGAATGACTTTAAATCAGTCAAGGTGTGTGTACGCCAGTGTTGTATTCTTTCACCATACTTATTCAGTCTGTGTGCTGAGCAGATAATCCGTGAAGCTAGATTATATGAAGGAGCACATCAGGATTGGAGGAAGACTCATTAACATCTGGAGATATGCAGATGATACAATCTTACTTGCTGAAAGTGAAGAGGATTTAAAATAACTGATGAAGATCAAAAACCACAACCTTCAGTAAGGATTACACCTCAAAACAAAAATCCTCACCACACCAATGAACCAATAAATAACATCATGATAAATGGAGAAAAGATTGACGTTGGCAAAGACTTCACTTTGCTGGGATCTACCATCAACTCTCACAAAAGCAGCAGCCAAGAACTCAAACAACATGTTGCACAAATCTGCTGCGCACAAGACCTCTTTAAAGTGTTCAAGGGCAAAAATAAATCACTTTGAGGACTAAGATGCGCTTGACCCAAACCAAGGTGTTTTTGATAGCCACATCTGCATGTGAAAGTTGGACAAGGAATAAGGAAGACCGCAAAGGAATTGATGCATTTGAGTTACGATGTTGTGGAACATTGAAAGTACCATCGACTTCCACAAGAGGTACAGCCAGAATGCTCTTTGGAGGCAAGGATGGTGTCTCTCATACTCGGGACATGTTTTCAGAAGGGACCAGTCCCTGGGGACCAGTCCCTGGAGAAGGACCGGGCAGAGTTAGGTTGTGCATCTGGTAACTGAGTCAGAACGGACTCGACAGTACCTAAAACAAGTCAGCATCTAGTCAGTGGCAATGGATTTGGATTTTTATTTTGTACTTGCTACGTCTGGCAACCCTACCATTGCACTGTTAGAAAAAGGACATTGAAATCCTAGGAGTGGACACCTAGCCAGGTTCCCAGGACGGGTGCACGTAGGAAGGCAGAGCCGGCGTTTCGGCTGGCCACAAGAGGGCGCGCTGTGCATTCACCTGGAGACTGCTCCTGGCCTCATCAGCCTTCTATCAGTACCTGAAAAGGAACCAGGGACAGAGTTGTGGGCGGTCTCTAGGGATACAGACTGTTCCATCAGCCACTCCCAGCTCTGTGCCCTCCATGGGACCTCACAATCTGGGCTCTGGCCTCACGCGCTCTCCCTATTCACCCCTCTCCATCCCGGCGGCGGTGCCGGACCTCCCATGACGACACTGGGCCTGAACTAGATCCATTGGGAAAGCCCCGCCCTGACCCCAATCCCAACTCTAATCCTCAATGGCCCTCGATAATCCTAATCCTAATCCTGCAACGAAGTGAGGAACCTGATCTCCCATCCCCATTCCCACCCAGAGTCTCCAGGGGACCTTCCTGGGTCCCTCCCACCTGCTCCAGCACGCAGTTGGCGGCCAGACCAGCACAGTGCGGCAGAGGCGGGAGCGTGGGTAGGGATGGCAGTGACGGTGCCGTAGCAATAGCGGCAGCACAGGCGGACTTTCACACACATTTAAACTGAATGGAGCCATGATGTCCTGGAGCTTGCCCCATGGGACAGAAGAGAACTGCCCCATGGGCTTTCTGAGGGTGTAAATCTTTGGGGAAGGAGCCCTGGTGGCGCGGTGGATTAAACATCCGGATGCTAACTGTAAGGTCGGTAGTTCAAACCCATCGGCCGATCCTTGAAAGAAAGATGAGGCTGACCTTTTCTTACAGCCTCGGGAATTCTGTGGGTATCTGCCCTACAGGATCGCTATGAACTCGTTGGCAGTGGGGTTTTAAATCTTGACGAAAGCAGACGGAGCTTCGTTCTCCCAGGATTCGCAGCGGAGCACTTTACCCACTGCGCCACTGAGGTTTTCACGCGAATTGCAGGTGATCGGAAAACAGGCGCAGGAATGAGTGTGAGTGGCAGCAGTGGCGGCCAATGGGCAGAGGCCGTGCCTACCTGAGGGCGGAGCAAGGAGGTGGCTGGGTCCAGCTGAGCCTGAAACTCACCCCAAGAAAGCAGATTCTACAAAGGACTTGAAGAAGACTGCAATGCGCCCCACCCCAGCTCCTGGGGTGTGCTATGGGGAAAATGGGACTTTGGGAATGCGCTTCCCACACCACATCTTCATTGTACCGCAGACGAAAAACCAAACTCATAAATTTCCATCCAGGTCCTGTCATAACCGTTGCGCTAGGGAAGTTGCTGATGGGCACCGGCGTCCCGGTGTCGTGTAGAATACGCACTCGGCAGCACGATCCCTTTGAATTGCAAGGCCCGTGCTTCAAACTCACCAGCCGCTCCTAGGAAACCCTATGGATTGCTGAGTCAGAATCGACTCGATGGCACTTTTACAAGAACCGTCGGTCCAGAGGCACACCCCAACCCTACCCATTGGCCCATGGCAGAGCTACAGGTCAGCTGTCCGTCCCTCTCGACCTCGGAGCAGCTTCCGCAGGCCCCGGCCCCCAAACAGGCGTCTGTTCACTCTCCGCCCCTCACCCCCGAGGAAGCAAAGTTGGGGTTCTGAGTTCAAATACCAGAACCTTGACTAGAGTTGCGGCTGCGCCTTCAGGGCAGGACTGTTGGGGGGAGGGGCGGTCCTTGCGGTTTAGTGTCCAGTGCGCGAATCCTGGGTTCTAATCCCTGCCCGGCCACTTCCTGTGCTTGGCCTTGAGACAGTGACCTTCCTCTTGTGGTTCACAGCAGGGCACCCGGCTGCCGGACACTACGAGTGGCTGCGATGGACCCCCTCGGCCCTCGTCCCCAGCCTGGCGCCTCCCATAGAACCTGAACATCAGGTGCTGCCGCCCTGCGGCGGGAGCGAGCGCCTACCCGCGGCTTCTTTGTCTCTTCTGTAAAATGGGCCACACCAACAACCCCCCAAGGTCGTGGGCGGAGACCCCGAGTGCCTAAAATGCAGCGCGTGCCAGGTGCGCCCGAATTTTATTAAAGATTTTAATGAAAAGTCTCTGACAGTTAATCCAGGACCGCCCAACAACTTTGGGCATTTCCGGATCTCAGGTATTAACAACGGGCAGTGCGACGAAGGGACCGCGCGCAGGTGCTGACCCCGCTCATCCATCCCTTCCCTCCTCCATTCATTCACTGTCACCACCCCCAAGGGACTCGACCCGCCCAAGCCTGGGCGCGCGCTTGGACCCGGACGCCCGGGTGACCCTTGAACCGTTGACCCTGAACCTCGGCTTCCAGGCATTGCAGTGATAGGGATCCCTCTCAGCTCAGAGGCTCGTCCCCTCCGCAAATCTCAGGTCGGGGACTCCGGGGAGACCCGGGGTCCCCGTTCCATCCCGTTACTGCCGTTTCACCCCCCCTCCTTCCCGCGCGCGCCAGACTGGCGGGGGCAGAGGCCGCCTCTCCCTCCCTTCTTCCCTCCCTCCAGCGTCGCTCCGCCCCGCCGCCGCGCCCCGCCGCGCCCGCCCTCTAGTCCCTTCCCGTCCCCTCCTTTGAGCTGTCGGGACGGGCGCGGAGGCCATGTGACCCGCGGAGCCGGGACACGACGGGACGTCACGGGGCACGGGTCGGGGGACGCGGGCGCTGCCCGTGAGGGCGGCATGGAGCGGAGGTGGGTCTTCGTGCTGCTCGACGTGGTGTGCGTTCTGGTCGGTAAGAGTTGCGGGACGCGAGTTTGGGGGGGACCCGCTCCCAGGTCTGCCCCGCCCAGACCGCGAAGGTGTTCGGGTCCAGGACGCGAGGAGCAGCGCCCTGGGGATGCGACCCCGCTGCGGGTGCCCTGGGCCCTGCGTGCCACCCGCGGGCCTCAGAGTTCTCGTGTGGCCCGTGGTAAAGGGCCCCGGGCGCGGGGTTCGCATCCCCCGCCTGCGACTGCAGGAAGTCGCCGGCGGGGCTGCTCGGGCCTCGGCACCCGCCCGGCCCCGGTGATTCACGCGGGCGGCGGCCGCTTCATTGCGCGGAGGTGGGACGGGCTGGTGCGGGGGCGCGGCCGCGGGGTCACCGCCACGGGGACCCCGCCGGCCCCGGAGTCCTCATGCCCGCGAGAGCAGCCCCTGGCCCGTGACGCGCTGCGCACAGCAAGTTAGTGGGACTCCCATCCTTGAGGGTGGGGCCTCCAACTGCCCCCTCCCCTCTAACCCGGGGCTTGAAGGACTTGGGGAAAAGGCCTGGCCCAGGGCTTCGGGCGAACCGGGGGCCTTGGGGAACCGCAGGCCAAACCTGTCGGGCGGGTTTGCGGGCCAGCATGGGGGAGGGGGCGGCCAGAGGCCCCCTCCCCGCCCCTCCCTTTGAGCCAAGAACAAAGGCCGAGTGTTCGCCCTGGGGCGGTGCGGACAATGGTCTGAAACTGTAGCCTGGTGGAGAAGGGTCCGGGAACCTCATTCACCGCCCCCCATACCAGGATCCCTTGAGCAAGGAGGAGAAAGCTCGGTCAGGCCCAAACACCCCATCCTTCCAGATTCCGGAAGAGACCCCTTGTGAGGTGGGCCTGGTGACAGCAAAGGATTCCCAAAGGACATCTGATAGCCCCCCCCACCGATGTTATTAAACATGATTGAAGTGCTTACTGTGTGCTCCGCACGTGGATCGGTGCCTCAAAAGGGGGGGGGCACTGCTGACCGCCCTTATGCTAGAGGGAGGTGACCCTGGACCACTGGTGTTCGTTTGCCGGACACTCACTGCCCATCACGGATGTCAACACGGGTCCTTGTCTACTGTGGGCCAAGCCTACAGCCAGTTGTTAGTTCAGTGAGAGGACACGGGTGGGGGGTGGGATGGGGAATCCCCCCAGAACCCCACTGCCTTTGGGAGAAAGATGAGACTGTCTGCCCCAGTTACACAATTGTTGTCACAGTGCCGCAGCAACCCTGGATAGGATTTCCTAGGAGCAGATGGTGGGTTTAAACAGCCAAACTTCGAGTTTACTCTCCAGTGCTTATCCTAAAGCGCCGTAATGTTGTGGTTATGTGCTGTGGAGTCGGTTCCGACTCACAGCGACCCTGAACAGGGTTACTGAGGCTGTAAATCTTTACGGGAGCAGATAGCCTCATCTTTCTCCCGCAGAACAGCTGCTAGTTTCGAACTGCTGACCTTGCGGCTCGCAATAGGAGTCCAGTTAAACATTGACAGTCTCAGAAATCCCATGGAGCCGTTCTGTTCGGTCTGATAGGGTCACTATGAGTGGAAATGGACTCTTTAGCAGTGGGTTTGTTTTGGTGTTTTGAGTCGGTTCTGACTCACAGTGACCCTATGGTGGTGGTGGTGTGCCATGGACTCTGTATAGGGTTTCCGAGACTGTAACAGAAAGCCTTATCCTTCTCTTGTGGAACTGCTGGTCGTTTCAAACCGCTGACCTTGAGGTTAGCAGCCTGACTCATAACCATTACGCTACCAAGGCTCCTTTCAGTGACCCTATGTTGTTGTTGTTGTTAAGTGCCGTCGAGTCGTTTCCGACCCATAGCGACCCTGTACAGGATTTCCTAGACTAAATCTTTACGGGAGCAGAAAGCCTCGTCTTTCTCCCGCAGAGCAGCTGGTAGTTTCGAACTGCTGACCTTGAGGTTTGCAGCCGGATTCGTAACCACTCCTCCACCAGAGCACAAAACTGCCCCCTAGGGTTTCCAAAGCTGGAATCTTGCTGGAAATGAGTGCTGGTGGTGCGGTGGGTTAAGCATTGGTGTGCTAACTACAGGTCATCGGTGCCCTCTAGCTGCTTCTTATGGAGAAAGATGAAGCTGTCTGCCACCATAAAGATTTACAGTCCCAGAAACCCTGAGGAGCAGTTGGACTTGGTTCTATAGGGTGACCCTAAGTCAGAACTAGCTGAACAGCAGTAGGTTTTGTTTTTATTTTTTGAGTCGATTCTGACGCATGGTGACCCGATAAGACAAAATAGAAGTGTCCCATCTGCTTCCCAAAGCTAGAATCCTTTTGAAGGCTGACAGACAGCCTCGTGTTTCTTCCCTGAAACAGTTGGTGGATTCGAACCACTCACCTTTGGGATTCCTGGTGTGGCTCTGTAGGATCAGCACTGGACAGCTAACCACAAGGCTGGTGGTTCAAACCCACCAGTCGCTCCTCAGAAACCCTATACAGGGTCGCTATGAGTCGGAAAAGACTCAATGGCACTAAATTACCACCACCTTGCCTTTGAAATTATGGTGTTGGAGGAGAATATTGAAAGTGCCATGGGCTGCCAAAAGAACCAATAGATCCGTTTTGGAAGAAATGCAGCCAGCGTGCTCCTTGGAGGCCAGGATGGCCAAACTTGGTCTCTCCTACTTTGGACATATTGTCAGGAGGGACCAGTGGCTGGAGAAGGATGTTTGGTGAGGTGGAGGGTCAGAGAAAAAGAGGAAGACCCCCAGTGAGATGGATTGGCCAAGTGGCAGCATCGATGGACTCAAGTGTGGCAACAGTAGTGAGGTTGGCCGAGGATCGGGCAGTGTTTTGTTCTGCTATGCATAAGGTCGCTATGCGTCGGTACCGACTCGATGGCACCTAACAACAACAACAACTACCTTTGGGTCAGCATTGGAGCGGTATCCGCAGAGTTCCATGGTGGTTACTGGTCCACAAATGGGCAGTGGGAGGGGAGAGACTGACTCTCCAGGACGCTGAATATCAGGGGACCCTGGTGTGGGGTGGAAGGACAAAGTCAGGGCTGCCAGGGAACTTAGCTCAGAACCAAGAGTTAGACTTGGATTTGGAAGCAGGAAGACAAGGGTCTCCAGGTGTGCTTGAGAGGAATGAGGGAGGGGAGGGGCGAGGAGGAGGATGTGGTGATTACCTGGTGAGCAGCAGGGGTGTGGATAGGGGAGGGACCTCCTGTTTACCTGGAGACCAGTCCTTCCTGGCTGTGTTTTGGGGGTTACTGATAGGGAGCCCAGTCTGGTGGGCCTACAGCATCCTCGCATCCTCCGTCTCCCAGCTTCTCTACCCTTTATCATCCTGACGCTGGTGAATACCCCATACAACCGAGGATTTTACTGTGGGGATGATTCCATCCGGTACCCCTACCGCCCGGACACCATCACCAATGGGCTCATGGCCAGTGTCACCATCACCACCACCATTATCCTTGTAAGGCTGGAGGAGTCTCGAGGGGGGGGGCGGCTGGGGGGAGAGGTCACACCCCTGCCCTAGTGACCTGAGGAGGGAAGAGGAGGCCAAGCACCCCCTTGGGACTCTGAAAAAAGAGCTGGAGCCCTGCCATGAGGGTACTAGTGGAAATAGGGTCCATTGGGGAGCCCAAGCCCCCAGCAGCTCTGCCAGACCCTCACAGTGGACTCCTTGGCAGGTCTCAGCTGGGGAGGCATACATGGTCTACACCCAGCGCCTGTACTCCCATTCCACCTTCAACAACTACGTGGCCGCAGTGTATAAGGTGCTGGGAACCTTCCTGTTTGGGGCTGCGGTGAGTCAGTCTCTAACAGACCTGGCCAAGTACATGATCGGCCGTCTGCGGCCCAGCTTCCTGGCTGTCTGCAACCCCGACTGGAGCCGGGTCAACTGCTCTACGTATGTGCAACTGGAAAAGGTGTGCCGGGGGAACCCAGCCAACGTCACCGAGGCCAGGTGGGTATGGGGACACCTGGCCTGTGTCATCGGGGTCAGGTGGGTGGGATGGTGCCTGGTTAGCATCACAGGGGCCAGGTGGACATTGGTTCTGACAGTTTTGCCTGACTTTACCTCGGGGAGTGGACTTGGAGTTCCTGACCTCTCCTTTCTCTGATGCCCCTTGACATCTGTCTTTTCTAACACTTGGATTTATTGAAAGGAAAAAGTGAAACTTTCATCATCTAACCCAGAGGGGACATAATGCTGACTAGAAACACAGGGTATCGAAGCTTTGGTATTAACTGCTTGCTGGGGTTCTGAGCTGGGAGCCTGCATTGTGCTTGCTGGTGACGAGTTAGAGACTGGTGCGCCTCAGTCTGAGAGTTTTGTTCCCTTCTCAAGAATAAGGAGGACAATTTCCCGATGCATTCCTGCTGAGTTCCCTCCCAAGTAAGACCCTTTCTCCCCCTCGCTGACCCTGCCGCCCACCCTCCCTGTTCCTAGATTGTCTTTCTACTCTGGACACTCCTCGTTTGGCATGTACTGTATGCTGTTCTTGGCGGTGAGTCTCTTTCTGTGACTTGCTTGTTGGGCCTTAGTTTCCCTGTCTGTAAATGGGCTGAGTAGAGGTGGTGGGTGGGCGTGGGTGTGCCCAGTGGGCTCTCAGACCGACAGCCACTCTCCTCCCACCCCACCCCACCCCAGCTCTATGTGCAAGCCCGGCTCTGCTGGAAGTGGGCACGGCTGCTGAGACCCACCATACAGTTCTTCCTGGTGACCTTTGCCTTCTACGTCGGCTACACCCGCGTTTCTGACAACAAACACCACTGGAGCGATGTCCTCGTCGGGCTCTTGCAGGGGGCACTGGTGGCTGGCCTCACTGTGAGCTACGGCCCTGCCCCTGCCTTGCCCAGGGAGCCCCTGTCCTCACTCTTCTCTCCTGGGACTGGGGGAGGCATCTCCTACCCACTTCTTCTCACTGCCTCCCTAGTCCCCCTTCCCTCTTAAGTGCCCCTCACCATGCTCCCTAACTCTGCCACCTCCTGCCTCCACCCACACAGCTCTCTCCCTGTACCCCTCCCAGGTCCGCTATATCTCTGACTTCTTCAAGGCCCGGCCCCCACCCAGCTGCCCAGAGGAGGAGGAGGAGCTGGAGCGAAAGCCTAGATCGACTCTGACACTGGGCGAGACTAGCTGCAACCATTATGGGTACCCAGTGTCGTCCTCCTGAGTCCGCTGCCCAGTCAGGTCCATCCCCTGGACCAGCTGTGATGGGGGACAGCAGGACTCTCCCCAGGACTGAAGAAGCAGCAAAGTGACCCCTCACTGACCCCTCACTGCTCCCTCACTGACCCCTCACTGCATAGGACTGGGACTCAGGGAGTGTGTTTGGAGGGGACGTGTTCCTCATAGTTCTCCGAGGACCCCCTCTCCTTCCTTAGGGAGTACGGAAGGGGAGGGGACCAAGAATGGATGCTGTTTTTGTAAATGGGGTGTACATGTGGCTTTTTAGTAAAACAAAACATTTACTCAGCGGTGTTTTCTCAGTGCCTTTTGTACTTCCCATGGTCCCTCCTTAGGACAGATCCCTTCCCCCTGTCCCCTCCAGACACCCCCACAGCAGGGCTCGGGGCACACCCTCCCTTCCCAGAGACCCCAGGTCTCGTGTGTATTTTCAGGGTTACTGCCCCACCCCCTGTGGTTCTGCGGACAATAGTAATTTCTCTCCGCCTCAGTGGACAAGGGACAAGAGCAGCTGTGCCTGCTGTCATGGTGGACCCTACTTAGTGACCACTTCCCCGGTCCTGTGCTGTCCTCACCGTAGTTCCTCAGGTCATGGATCGCTGTCATTGTTAAGTGCTGTGACGTCGGTTCCAACTCAGCGACTCTGTCTAGGTTTTCTAAGGAGCAGCTGGTGGGTTTGAACTGCCACCAGTATGATTAGTAGTCCCATGCTTATCCTACAGCACAACGCTGTGTAAATATCATTTCTTGCGGTCACTTTTTTTCTTTTTTGATTTTTAATATAGAACTTTTGATTGTGAATTGAGTGAAGGTTTAGTTCTCCGCCCAACAGCTCCCATAGTTGTCCGTTTCATGTTGTTAATTACCGTCCCCACAATTCAGCCTCCCCATCTCAGACTTTCCTGTGTATCATCCTTCCATTCTCCTCCTCCTCTAACCTTTCTGAACTTTGTCCTTGGGTAGACGCTGCCCTTTTGATCTCGAATGGCTGATGGTTTTAAGGTGTGGTATCTCCCAAGTGTTCCTTATAGACCTGCCTAGTATTTGACTGAAAATTGATCCACAGGGGGGAATTCATTTCAGGACCTGAAAGGTGATTGAAGGTCATAGTCTCAGGGGGCAGTCCCACAATCCTCTGTCCATTATAGTCCTGTCTCCATGGCTGCATTCTTCCACCTGTTGGCTTTTGAAAGCCCCCTCCTGGATACTGGATAGCACACAGGAATTTGTACTGATTAGGTTTCTCAGGTGTGACACCTATTGTGAATGAAATTTTATGATGTTGTAGCCTAACATATTTCACAATACAGAGATAAGCTAACAGGGCAAAGTATTAGAGGAGTAGCTCGTGCCACTGAGCCAGCTATGACTCATGGAAACTTTGTGTGGAACAGACAGAACTGCTCCTCAGCCCCATGTAATCTTCATGCTCACCAGCGTCTGAGTCCATCTCTGCGGCTACTGTGCCAATTCACCTCAGTGAGGGTCTCCCTCACCCTCTCCGCTGCTTCTTCAGATATGATGTCCGCCTCCAGCAACTGACCCTTCCCCAGTGCATGTCCAAAGCAAACGTGTCAGACAACGGTCTGGTGTGATGAAGCCCAAAGCGTTTTCTGTGGCTCGTTTTCCTTCGGTGCTTTCAGCCGTCCGGGGATGCCACTGATGAAGTGGAGCTTTGGTTTGCGTGATTAGAGGTCACAGTCGTAAAGGATGCGCGGGGTGGGGGTGAGGGGGGGGCTCTGGGAAAGGTGCTGGGCTCGAGGAACGATGCTATTTTCAAACAAGCCTTTCCCCTCTTCAGGTGAGCATCCCATCTGTTCTGCAGGTGGCTTTCTGCTGAGTACAAGTCAGCACTACAGAACAAAGCCCACTCATGGGATTGGAAGATACAAGCACCTAAGTATAGCACACAAACTCAATTATACGCTCAAACCACCTCAGTACGACAGGCTGACAGGGAAGAAGAGGGGGAAAGTGGAAGTGAGACCTAGTAATGTGGGGACCAATTATGAGTATGGTGGTGTAAATATTCACCGACTGCATAGGACATGGTCCTGGCAGAGAGTTATGCCCAGGATGTTCACAACCTCTGCAATGATCTCACCGTTAAAGTCCAGGACAGTTATACATTGTCCACGAAAACCATGGAGGTGTTGTGGCTGCGGCTGCAGAACCAAGGTAACAAAAGGTTCCTGGACTCGGTCCTTACCACCCATGAGCCCGCAGTTCAGATCAGTGGTCTGAGTGCTACATTTGCAGAGATTTTCTTGGAGATAATCCGAACCAATCTTCCTGAAGGAGTCAAGTTGTTAGTACAAGAACACACTGAAGAAGACTTCAGGGGGAGGTTCAAAGTTCACCAGAACTGGAAGAATTGTTGGCCAAGCTGTAGGCCCTTTCGTGCCAGCACTGGTGATATTGAGTGCTAAGGAGGAAAAAAGTAATATTAAGCAGGAGACT